GACTAGGGTCTTCTTTTTAACTATAAGAAGGACAGCGAGGGGAAGAAGATGAGGAATTTCTTCTCTTCTACAGAGGATGGTTGCACCAGTCACATCTGAATTGTAGTTAAAGGGGTGCAGGCAATACTACTGCATTCATCCTGACTGTGGCGATCAATAAATGTAGCACCTGACATTTATTTCATGAACAGTATAAAGGGGCTAGCTCCCTGTGTCCTAGTCTCAACTCTTTGAAGGTGCTTGTTTGAGCCTTACCTGTATTAATCCGTAATGCTTCACGTCTTAACCCTGCTGACAGCACAGTGAAACAGACCCTGCTGCAAAATAGTGCAGAAACTGCAACGCGGAGAGCAATTTTTGAAATACTTCCAAAAATTGAAGTCTCCAGTGAATTTGCAGGGTTAAGGATTCTACTGTCTGAACATACATGGTTATTTTATGGTCCCACAAGAAATCTGCAATACAGCCTGGTCTGAAATGACAAGCCCTATAAGTCAGTTTAGAAGAACACAGTAACATCATCTAATAGATAGGAGTTGGAAACATTACAGTAGATAAATCTAAGCATGCTTATCCATCTTCATAAATGGGGGGTTTTTTTGCCTTTGAATCCTGTAGCCAGAACTGTTCATAAGACGACGTAGACGTGTTGATTTATCAAGAACCACTGAATGTTTTGGAAGCAAATGCCTTTTGAAACTTCTTCAAGAGCATGGCAAGACTCAGAACAAACCCATTCAGGTTGGGGTAGTAGGTAAGCACTTAAGAGATGGGAGGAGTTTCCTTCCTCCCCCATAATACTTTGGTATCCTGTATTATAAATTGGATAAAACAACTAACATGACTTTCTAATGGCATGTCTAGTTATTGTTCTTACTTTCAGCTAAGACTTCCTGTTGTAGTGCTTCATTTGACAGCTGTTGCACTTACGTGCATGTAGCATATGTGATCTGTGGAAGATGCGTTGTGTGAGGCCTCAGCTGATTTCAACTCAGGGGAAGAAGAGAAGCATGTTACATAGCATGCAGCTTGCACTGCTCTCCTACCTGATAGGATTTGTGGTGGTACATTCAGTGTTACTGTCACCAGTGTGAGAAATGAGGATACAGACTTTGTCTTACTGTTTTAGTGAAGACTTCAGATCCAACTCTGATCTCACACTGTAGATGTACTTTACCAAAGACACCTGGAAGAAGTAGCTTTGATTAGTGTTACATAGGCTGAGTTTTCTTATTTAACTTACAAGGATTTATGGTTTTTTTCAGGTTTCCCTAATGTGGGGAAGAGCAGCATAATCAACAGTTTGAAAGGAGTTCGTGCTTGCAATGTTGGCCTAGCAAGAGGTGTTACCAAGTAAGCTGGGTCTGGTCAAAGCTGCTGGTTTCCCTGTTTGTTGTGTTCCAATTACCTTGAGTTTGTTTGTGTACAGTTTCCATCCCTTAGGGGCAGAGCATGCCCCATGTGGAGTTTCAAATGCACATTTCAGTTTGCTAGGATGAAAGATACTGATCTCTGTGATGCACACTGTCAGCAGAGAATAGTGTATAAACTTGGTCTTTTTGTACATGTAGATTTCTGTTCCGCACAAAGCGTATGATGAAAAAGCACCAAAACCGACTCCGTATGAAGAGCATTCAATCCAACACTGAGCTTTGTGTCTTGTGTCCCTCACCATTACCAGTCCTTTGCTAGCTGATTACCTACTCACAGTGCATTTCTCTCCAAATAGGTCCATGCAAATTGTGCACGTTGATAAACAGACAAAGATGTTAGACAGCCCAAGTATAATTGCAGATCCTTCCAACAGTGCCCTGGCTCTGGCCTTGAGAAGTATCATAGACAGTGAACAATCAGACCCAGCATATCTGATCAAAGGAGTAGATGCCATTCTAAATCACTTCAACAAACAGCAGGTAAGTGCTATGTTATTCCACTTCTCTCACTGCATTTGACTTCCCTGTAGGTTTCTTAGGCCAATAAATAACAAAAGTTTGCTTTACTTCCACTAATTCTGGCAGCTTTTGTACTGCTTTCCCCATACCATACAGAGTGGCAAACTTTGGCTATTTTATCTAATGCAAAGTACCATCTTTCATCCCTATGAGGGGAAGGCAGAAACAGCATGCCACAACCCTCTCAGCCAGTCTGCTTTCCCAAAAACTTTACTGATTTTTAAAGATACCTGCTCTTAAGATCTCATCACAGTATCACAGAGTGAAAAATGAAGATATTCTCACTGCTTCCTATTATTACAGTGAAGACCTCAGATCCAACTCTGATTTCACTCCTGTTTTAAGCTTAGATTAACCTAAGCTTAATTTCAATTCAGTTCTGTGATAGCTGTTTTCACAAACCAGTTTGCTCTCTCTATACACCCACTAGTACGGGTGAATGGCAGATGCATTTGTTGATGAAGTAGGTATTTTGCTTTGCAATGTTTACTCCCATGTGCAAGAAAAAACAGCTCTTTGTATACCTGTTCATCCTCCTTGTAACCCAGTTTGATTTGCCCTTTCATTCTTAAAAATAAGAGAAAAGTGGGTATCTCTTTCTGAATACACCATTTTCTTTTGCACTAGGTAATACTGCACTATAATATCCCCGATTTCAGGGACACTGAAGAGTTTTTAAGTTTACTTGCTCAAAAAAGGGGTATGCTGAAAAAGGGAGCTGTTCCTGACATAGAGAATCTAGCTAAAATACTACTTTGTGACTGGACAGGGTATGTATGCTGTTAACTGCTCTATACTGCTCACCTTTTCCACATTGCTATTTCAGCACAGCAGAAGTTCAGAGTCCAGCAAAGGACTTTAGAAAGGAGAGGCTGCTTTTACCTTTTTTTGTTTTTTTCCCCCATTTCTCACATCTTGCTTTGGTAAAGAGAGCTGGATTGGCTAACAGATTTAGAGAATGGCATCCATGGCTAATGCTCTAAAGTAGCAGAGGATACCTGGAAAGAGTATGTTGCATGTTACTCCATGGCCAGTTGCTGACTTCTGTAACTGTTAGGAGAATTTGCCTTCCTCTCAAATACTGAGTCCATGTAGTCCTCTTTTACAGACAGGAAGGAATATGGCAATTTTTCTGCAGAAATTTGTAGTGGTTCCTACTTTTTGAGGGTGGGAATAAATGTGACTCAAATTTGAGTGTGACTGTTTCCTTTGCTCAAGTGGTTCAGCTGCTGTTACAGCTCATGATTTTACAGGCAGAGGATTTGTGGTGACTAAGTATGCCATTGTTTTGTCCTCTTAGGAGTGGGCTATGCAATGTAGTACTGTTATTGACAATGCCAGAGTCAAATTTAAATGGCCATTTAACTAAAACAGATAATAAATGAGTAAAGCAGGCAATAATAATTTTATCTTATAGTAATGGTGATAATGAGTTAAACAGATAATAATAAATGAGTAGTTAGGTTAAGGCATTTGAGAGGTTTGTGCTCTGGTTTCATTTTTAAACACAGTGATTTACCTTGGGTTGTTTTTTAACACAGTTATTTTATCTTCCCAGAGCTAAAATAAGCTACCACTCACAACCTCCAGGATCTCAGAGTCCACCACCATATCTTACAGAAGACAAAATAGCTGAAATGCAGAAGTGCTTTAATTTAAAGAACCTTGAAGAAGGAAACACCGCCACTGTTCAAGGTAGGACTGTTGCTGTAATGCACTCCCACCATTAAGAGTTGTGGTAGCAGCATAGTTTTAATTGGAAATTGTGAATGGAAGTCCTCCTGGGGTTTATACAATAATTTTGCCAAATATGAACCTTTTAAAAAAAAATGGATTCTGATGCAACAGAACCGTGCCTCTGTGTGCTGTCTTAGCACAAATGACCCCGCTAGTTCTTAGTTTCTGCTCATCTGACCTAACCCTCCTACGTGGGAAATAGGGGAAGAGAATGTTGAAGAGCAAACAAACGCTGCCTAATTAGGCCAACAAAAGACAATTTACTCAGTACAATCTATACCCAAATGCAACTCTTTCAGCTCCTGGCAGTCTTCTGTAGAGGTCCCTGGGAAAGCTATTCTCAGAAAATTGTCCTTTGTTCTACCTGCTTATGTGGGAGTCTTATGGAATGGACGGGGCAGGACTGTCTTCTCAGGGGGTAGGCATTTCATCTGCTGCCAACAGTGACCTAACAGGCACTTCCTATGTTTTTCCCAGCTTTAAAATGCCGCAGTCCATCCAGCAGCATCATTTTCCAGTCAGCTGGTATGGCAAATGGGATAATAGAGGAAAGTAAAGTGTTAGAGGAAGCATCGGAATGGGAAAACATGGACATATGCAATGAGGGGGAGGAAGAAGAAGAGGAGGATTTCACAGAAAGTGATGATTATCAAGATGATGTGGAAGAAGAAGAAAAGAATGTCGCCGAGGTAAACGAGAATTTCATTAGGCTTCTTCTACCTGTTTAGATCCTGATACTAAGTACCCAGTCAGTATCCTGCTGTAAAATGAGAATGTGTAGGCACTGTGGAGCCACCAGGAGTAATCAAAAATTCTCTCCCTTGGAGATACGGGTTGGGCTTTTTGCTTAATTAAGGAAACAACATTGTTCTAAGGCAGTGTATTCCTGACCAGCTATACAAAGGGACCTCCACACCATCATCAGTCTCTGCTACATTTTGTTTGTATGAGAGACTTCATTAGTGACATCTGAATAAACATATGTCTGACCTCTTTGACTTGTAGGAAGGCCAAGTCCAGGTCACCAGGAAAGCAAAGCTTGGAAAACAACAGAGGAGTCCTACAAATGAAGAAAAGCAGATGGCAGGTCTGTATTAAAGCCCCTGTCTTGAGGGTTCCAGTACTGTAGCACTTCCATTGGTTTCACTAAGCCATGATTTTATTTTCTCAGAGAACGAAAATTCCAATCCACTGCCCCTCAGCTTGGATAAGACCGCAGATGAAGATGATGCCTATGATTTTAATACAGATTATGTGTAATGAATTATGTGTGAAGACAATGTTTGGAGACTTATTACTGGCTTTCAGAACAGTCATGAGGACTTGACTTGTGGCTGAAGCTGGGGGAATACTGCGTAGCAGAGCTGCTGCAAAGATTCACAATTACTGCTGTGTCAAATAATGTATATAATAGTGTATCTCCTTGATTATTCCAGATGTTATACAAATGTAGGAAACCAACTGTGTTCTGCTTTATTTCCGCTATTAAAGACTATTTTAAAAAATTACTAATAGACCTTGAGTTGGTCTGTTCATTTTGCCTTGTAAAAAGATGTTTCAAAAGTATCAAAATCATTTCGGTTGGAAAATACCTTTAAGATTGAGACGAACCATCCACCTAACTCTACCATGTCCCTACACAACAAATCTAAATTACTTACTTAAACATATCCAGAGATGGTAATTGATTCAACCACTTCCCTGGGTGGGCTGTTCTAGGGCTTGGCAACCCTTTCAGTGAAGAATTTTCTCCTCTTATCCAACCTAAACACAACTTGAGGCCAAAGGGATAAACCCTTTATATTTTTCTTTGGAAAACAATGGTAAATGCTTTATTCTAGACATGTTCAAGCAATTAAATTTCAAGGCAGTTTTCATTCTCCATAAAATTTAACTGGAGGATTACAGAGACTGTGCCCTAGAGCATGGTTTAAGTCAATAACTTCATTATACTTTGGCAGAACTTGTAGCATATTCATATGTAAAGGTTGGCTAGAAAATGCTACTTATTTCAGCTAGATACAATGTATTTTATCTAAACACTGCTTCCTGTGTTGAGAACCTTCACTGGTAAAGGTGAGATTGTAGTAACAATTAGTCTTCACTGGAAGCAAGCTTCTTGTTTGTACAGTGCTGCACAAAAGACACCTATTGTATGTGCAAACAGCTGGTAGCTGTAAAGCAAAATGTTGCCCTGTGCAATAAGGAGGTGTTGCTGCACTCAGCCTACAGCGGAGCTGGGGTAGCAAGAGAATTGCCAAGAGGCCCTGAAGCTGCTCAACAAATTAAGCATTTAAACTAAGCATCTGACACCAAACATCTGTTTCCTAGTAACTTAAAGCCAAAAAAAAACCAGAAACCAGACCTTTAATAGATAGTTGTATTTTCCCTAAATTAACATTGAGGCAGCTTTAAAAAGTCTCAAGTGCAGATGTGGAGTTTATTTAAGCCTCCTAAAACACAGCCTGGCCATCTGAATTAAGTTGGTGTCAGCTATCTAGTACAGTCTTTCAAAGTTAACTAACAACTTACTTCATTACTCCCTAACTACCTCAAGGACAAGAATGTTTCTTGTTCATCAACACTCAGGAGAAGAAACAATAGGTAAGAAACCACAAATCAGCATCTGTGACAGAAACAGAACCATAGGCAGTGACTGCAATGAGCCAAGTGGCTGGAAAGCCTTCTGAAGTATAAAGCAGTACTAAAACCTCACTCAGACATGACCTTTAGCTCTGCTGCCTGCAGATAGTCTGTATCTCGGCACGCAAGGCTCAGCCCATCTCTGCATTAACACAGTCTTTTGTCTAAATGCCTTGTACTGAGGACTGTTCACAAGCAGCAATACTCAATAAAAATAACAACTTGACTTCAAATCTGTATGAAATTGAATAGTTTGCACAACAGCTGCTGGGATGTATCAGCTAATAATAACCACCACTCAAATTTAACACTACAACTATAAAAAAACCCACAACTTACCTGTAGGAAAGTCAACAGGCAGCTGAGTGCAGAAGGGCACAGGAATCTCGCTTGATGAGTTTAAAGGGTCAGACTGGGAAAAGAACACTGAGAAACACTTCTGTTGTGGTTTGAGGCTTGG